GACAGGAGACAGTTGTATGTATCGCTGTTGCGTGAAAATAGTGGTGGTGACTCCAAGGCTCTGAAGACTTGCCATCCGTCTGGACTGATGCTGTGAGATGGCAGTGAGTATACACGCTGGCCTCGGTTGTTTTAAGGTCAGTTAACGCACCTTCTATGTACTCTTCTTGCTTTAGTTTAGAGTGACACAGCCACTGTTTTACTTTCCTGAGCTCTTTAGCGTTCAGGTGGGAAGGAGAAGTGCCCAGCGTTTAGCCGCTTCTGGGCGTGAGAGAAGAAAACAATACAGAGAGGGTTGTGAGGAGATGTGTCTGAACAACTTTTAAGACCCAAATGAGCTTGGGGCAGTGGGTGGAGCATGCCGTGTACAGCACTTATATACTCTTAAGACCGGTAAATAACTGCTGACACATCAGACATACCTGATTGCTGTGCCTTGTACAAGCCCCTTTCTGTCCTTCTGAGGTCATTGGTCTTTATTTCTGCAGTAAGCACAGAGCTGTGCCAACTGCTGGCTGGAGAGAATACTTCTAAAATGAATTCAAATAAAGTCTTAAGAGTGGAGCGCAGAAGCAGTTGCTCCCTTTAAGAGCCAAGCGTCCTTGCTTTTGATACTCGTACTGCTCCGTGTAAGAGAAAAACGCCTGTAACATGAGCGGGGTACCAAGAGCGGGAGGCCCTGTGTGACAGAGGGACGTTGCGTGGCAGGCGGTGTTATTGCAGTCTGCTGTGCAAGTACATTGAGGTCCCATGTGTCGCACAAAACAGCTTCTCCCTTTCCGCAGGCTGAGGGGCCTGGTCCCTAGGGCCCAGCTAAGCTGAGGGGCTCTGCTCCTCTTGCAGTTTCTTGCCATCTCACATCCCTCCCACTGAGCCCATGTGAACCCTCCTCTCAAAGGGGCTTCTCGACTATCCCTGGCCTGACAGAAACAGCTGTAGATATTTCTTTGCTCATACGTGTGGCAGGAGCCCTCTTCCAGTGGATGGGGCCCATGTCAAGAGCTCGCTAATATTCTCAGGCTCAGCGACTGTCTTTACTCAGTCGTCCTGACCTTTCCACCGAGGTTTTGCACGGTGCCCGCTCTGTGGTGCTGGTCGCCATGTCTAGTGTTGCATACCAAGAGGCAGTGTTTTGCAGCTTGACCTTTCTCTGGGGATTTAGCCCTTGGTCCCTAGGAGTTAAACTATCAGTTGCTGTGAGTAATGGAAAGTATGTTCATTAACAATGTTCTATTTAAAATACAAAGCAAGCGTAACGATAGCAAGAGGTGTCGGATGACCGGGACAGAGAATGACTTTTTCCGTTCAGAGACTGGGGAGAGGTACAGGGCAGGCTTCCCCAGCTGCTGGGATTTTTAGAGTCTGTCTCTGCAGGTAAAAAAGCAGCTCGGTCACTGTGTGTCGTGTGCCATAAAGGAGTGCGTTGCAGTGGTACTCCTTGTGTGGACCACGTCGTTCCCTAGGGAACGGAAATAGGAGAGGAGGCGGCGGCCTCTTCTGGAGAGCATCCTCCAAGATCAGAGCTCCGAGTGATGTATGTGTTACTAGGTTTAAACAGCCAGTCCAAACGTTATATGATTTTGAGTCAAAGTAGGAGATTTCTCCTTTCTCCTACACACAGGAGAGCTGGATTTGGTGGGTTTCCCAAAAAAAAAAAAAAAAGTTCTCCCTAAAAATGTCAAAACGTCTTGATTCTACACTTTCAAAATAAAACAAAAGTTTGACGTTGAAGCAGTCATTAGCTAAAAAAGGCTAGTATGTGAAAAGTTTGGCATTTCTCATAAATGACTGAGTTATTTAAGTTCACCCCCAAATTTCCATGTTTTATCAAATATGCACTTTTTAAAGATATTTGTCTATTTTTTTGGTAATTACTAAAACTTCTAGATGGAATGAAATCCAGTCCCTGCACAGCTCCATGAAATGCTTTGAGACTTGGTCTGTTTAATGGGAAAGGAGTGTTCTCAGCTGTTTTGTTTGAAAAAAATTATTTCTGCTCTTATCTTTGTAGAGTGAGAGTAATATAGATAATGCTACCTTTCTTGCTGGGAGCTGCAACTCAGAGAAATACTACTAGGCTGGTTATGTCTCATACTCTGGGATTTTGTTTTAAACAAGAATGTGGATTTTTAGAAATAATTTCAGGGAGTATTCCCATGAGGCTTAAAACCCTGCCTACTTCTGCCCTAGTCATCCCATACTGTTAATATGTCTTAACATCTCCAAGTTCAGGCCCAAATATTTTAAAAATTAATAAAACTTGCAATTCTGGAGGAGGAGAAGTATTAATGGAAACTTCAGGTGGTTGGTTGGTTTTTGTTTTTTTTGTTTTTTGTTTTAGGACTTTGTAGGAACCCAGTGTTGAGATTGACCTGTAGTCGTATAACCAGCCTGTGTAGTGTGACGGGGAAGTGTAAAAAGGAGGCTGATGGTCCATATGGGAAAACCTTATTTTGGTGGGTCTTTTGTTTGTTTTTGTTTTGTTTATTTTTCCCCAGCAACTGTGGTGCACAGTTTCCTTGGAAGGAGGAACTGCATGGAACCTGCATATATGCAGTATGCTAAGAAACCGGAGAGTGGCTAGCAGTCCCTTGAAAGACACCCTTCAAGTTGAATTACTATAAATAACTTGCTTTAATGTATCTTACACTTCTTTCCTTGCCTTTTTAGGACACGATTAAATAACAACCTCTTTCTTTCCCCTTCTCCCGAGGGTTTCTCCTATTGTACATGCAGGAGCCCCCTGTAAATAACCTGCTGACTTAGGTCTCTGGGCAGGGTATAATTTGGTGATTAATTTAGTCCTGTCTGCCAGCATGTTGAGGGGTTAAGTGGGAGATTTTTTGCAAAGCCTCAGGAAGGAGGCAGCTACTGCCTTGCCAGCTGCCGGCACACTGTGGGTTATTCTCATGCTGTCTCCCCCTCCACTCCCTGCTGCACCTGTTGTCACTTGCATTATGGTCATTTCATGCATAGTAACTTAATATGGCAAAGCTGGATTTTAATAGAACAAGCTGACGCTCAGAGGGGAGATTAAGGCAGCTTTGAGAGTACTTAAGGAAAAGAGAAAGGAGCTACATTTAAGGGCAGGGATGCACAGGTGACAGAACAGCTTTACTCTCATGGTTGTCACCAAAGAGGAGCTTGGGCTCCTCTTGCTGCCATCCCCGGAGGGACTGTCGTGGGCCGGTTCCCCTGGTACAGAGTCGTTCAGGGATGGCTGATATTTCTGATCTCTTGTTGTATTTGTCCGTAAAGCTATAAATACATCCGGTAGCTAGGACCCCTTCCTCATTGTGCTGGGGACCCTTTCTTGCAGTTGCAGCACTGAGGAGGAGATTTTACTGGGAAGTTGCTGAATGATGCCCCGAAGCAGGGCTGTCCTGGCTGTCTTTAGGCCAGGCCTGTGTGCTGCGGGTGTGGTGGGCAGCACCTCGCCAGGAGAGGCTGCCAAGCACGTAGGAGAGACCAGGGCGGATACTGGCCTTGGAGCTGTTGACACAGGTACCCTCTGTGTCCTTCTCCCAAGAGCAATTAAGTGCTGATCTAGGGAGTAGCTCCCTAATTGCTCCTTCTCTCTATCCTCAAAAAGCCCACTTTTCATCCAGATTGAGTAGTGTGACTTCCTGAAGATGATGTTTATATATTTTTTTCATAGAACTTTATTCTGTGAAATGCAATATACAGAGAAAATAAATCAAGTACTAGGAGCTGCTTTGGGTAGGGTTTGAACAGCTTTAGAGAAAGAAAGACTTCATAGCCCCAGAGTGACCACAAGGATTTACTGATGCTTTATTTTTCCAAGGGAGGATTACATAGTTTCATTGGCAAACAACATTGGAAACAATGGAACAATTGGAAAAAGATGCTTTGGAAGGATGGATGGTGGATGGCTGCACTTTGTTTCACCTAGCTTGCCTTGGTGAAAGTTCAGTTGTTGAAATGGAAGTCTGGTGGCCCACGGGGTGATACGTATGGATGCAGTGGTAAAAAGTAGTGGGTTTGGAGGCCCATCGTCCAGTCCTGTGTGGTTTCTGTGTTGACAGTGATTGACAGAGCAAGAATTTCACTGAGACAAATCTCAGGTGCAGTCTGGTCTTTCCAAATTCAGCTTGTTCTGGCAACGAATGGGAGAGTTGGACTTGAAGTCACTTTATCTGAAGAAACACTTGCAAAATGACAAACTGAGCCCTTGATTTCTCCCTGCTTCCTTTTAAAGTGTTTGTTTCATGCAAGGCTTAGAAATGTCCTTCCCAGGTTATTATAACTGATAGTTTAAATGGGCCCTCAGGCATACCTTATGTTTGTATTTCAAAGACAGCTGCTTTTTTTTCCTCCTGTGGACAACATAGCAGCATATCTAGACCTTTTTTTTGATCCTACTTGTACAGTACTTATACATGTGCAGGTGCTTTTGAAGTCCTGTTTTGACCACTGATCATCACTGTTAGAATACTTTTCAGATGATTACTTCATTTTGTTTGAAGAGCTGTTCTCAGTAGTTCACAAAGGTATTCAAGCTACTCTCTGCTTTTACTGTATTCTACAAGTTATCAGAAGCTATTGCTTTGATTTTTTTTCCTCCTTTCTGTCCCTCCCAACAAGTGATCTCAAAGTGTTTGTAGGATAAATGTCTCAAGCTGCCAATTTGCATAGCTTAAGCTCTAATTTTGCCTTACAACAGAGATCTGGGACGATATTTCAGTTTGAGCATTTCCATCTCCACAGATAAACTGAGCATTTGTCACGATCTAGATATATTTGTTATCTTAGAAGAATCCACTGACAACTGCATCAGTTTCCACCAGTTCTAGAACAGGATCCAGGCATCTGGATTCCTCTTTTCTTTGCTCTTGGACAACAGCCTATTTTGGTTTCCTTTATATGATTGGAGAAACGATATCATGTTGATTGGATAAGCTGTGTCTGGCCATGAGCAGGTAGAAACTATTAAGCATAGCAAGAGGGACAAGGTTAAGCATGCAAAAGAGAAGAACGTACCACTTGATATCTGGGGAAGTCCACCTAGACGGACAGAATGTGCTTTACAAATGCTGTGGAAGAATGCAGATATGATAGTTAGACGGAGCAGCAAACATTAGTTTGGGAAATACCTTTAAAAAGAAGAGCTGTTCATGAGCTGAAGGCATTATAGAGACAAATTCCTGATCAGATTTGACCTAATAAAATATAAAGCTCTAAGTGTTTAATGTTGTACATGACAAATTCTCTCCTTGCTTAGGTGTTGCAAGTAGCCTTCTCTGTTGTGGCTAAATCTAGCCGTTTTAGTAGTAACACTGTAGGCTAAGTATGTTGCAAATAGCAACAGTCATTTTCAGGCATATTTTACTTTGTTAGCATAACTCAAGTGCAGCTTTGTCTGATTTGCCTGGGAAGCCGCCTCGCCATTAAAAGCCGCTTGCGATGAAACTCAGAGAAAGAAATGAAATGTAGGATAAGAGGGTGTTGAACCCTTGTACCTACCCTCATAGTTGATACAGCCATTGGAGTCTTCCTGACCTTTCATCAGTTCTTCTACTTCCTCTTCTGTCATCTTCTCACCTGGAGAACGAGGAGAGCCCAGTTAATTATTATACAGCCACTCAACTGAGGTTGAACCCTAGAGCTTTTCCAAAGGCTTTTTTTTTTCCTTCCTTCCTGAGTTAGTAACAAAAAAGACCTATAAATGAACTGAGCTTTATTAATTTTAACTTTTCTTAGATGGATGTCCTGCATATGCACATAAACACCTGGATTCTTGTTATGCTACAAAGTGAAGAAGCTATGGGGCAAATCCTCTGTCGTTGTCTGTATGCTTTGTGTTACTTACAGCCTTTTCTCTCTATCCCTCAAGTTACAGGCATTCTTAATACCTAGCCTGAGTTGAGAAACAGTAGAACAAACCTTTTCTTTTGGGCTCCCTACTGTGTTTTTTGTTCATGTTCCCTTTGGGTTCCCAGTTAGGAAATGCAGAGTCTTGTCAGGCTTTTAAGCCTCCTACTTCCTGGATCGGTTAGAACATCCTCTCTCATGCCTTCAGAGAGCAGTAATTTTTTTTTTAAATGTTCACAGAGATAATGATCCCTTACCCAGAGTAGCCAGTACGTGACGGAGTTCAGCCCCCATGACTGTGCCATTGCCCTCTTTGTCAAAAACACGCAGACCTTCAACAAAGTCTTCATAGGTACCCTGCTCTTTGTTGTTAGCAGCTGCTTGCAGCATGGGCAGGAACTCTTCAAAAGTAATTTTCTTGGCATTCAACTCTGGAAAGAAAATACCGGTTACTACACTACGAGACCCTTCTGTTTGTGTTCTCCTACTGTGATACTCTGTCTCCCACCTCATTTGCGCACCTTTTTACAGCATTTATTCTAGCTTCTGCCCCAGGATTTGGCAGTTCTGCTGCAGAATCTGGGTTCTGTCTTATCATGGGAGGTTACATTTTCACATCCATCTGACTTTTCACGTCATTGCTCCAGCTCTGTCTTTACACAGTCTTTATGTTTGTGTGCGTGTGCATGTTGTACTTTTCTTTCAGAAGTGAAACTTGCTGTGTAAGTTCATATTTGAAAGGATAGCGTTCTGGGAATGGAGCTGCAGAAGACAACTCAATGGAAATCTGGAGCCCCAAACACAGTGAGAAAAGGTGACCAGAGAGGGTTGTTAGGACTTGGGCAAGCCCCGGGAGTTGCCTACATCATGTTACTGACCTCTTCGGGTTTCAAAGTGGCTGTTGGTTTGGGGGCGGAAAAAAGCTGACTAAAAATCACTGTAACCTTCTTTGCGATCTCTGATCTTTCCTTCTAAGGAGCAAGGCAGAAAACTTTGCCTTCTGTGTCTGAATTAATAAGAAAAAAGCTGAAACCTGTTTACTGTATGCTATAAGACCATATTATGAGCTGGAGTAAACTGAACCTTGATAGCACATGAATGGTGTTTGTTTAACTAATACCCAGAGCAGTTCTGTTGCTTTGAACTTACTCTCTTGCTCTAGCCCCTACAGTTCGGTCTCGAGTTTTATTATCTTTAACAAATTAGTTTTCCTATTTCGCGGGCTTTCTTGGACCTGGCAGCAGAGATTATTAACTTAAAAATAAACTGGCTAAAAATAGGAGTGTCCACCCAGCATGTGTTCAAAGTCACTGTTGCATACATTCAGCGTGCAGGTCCAAGGGCTCACAAGTTTAGTGTGTTTAACACCTTCGTTTTCGTGACCTAGAGGTGCTAGTCCTCAGTGAGGCTTTCTCCAAACGGCCTTCATTGGAACAAGGCTGTCAAATAATGGGATTGCTTATTTTTTTCCTTTGATCTTTGCAAAGCGCAACCTTTAGCTGGGCAGATATAAAGCATGACAGGCGAAAGCATAGGAAAGGTTTTTGAATATATAATTGTTGTAGAAATTGTTTTACTACCAACTGCACAAAAATCACTGTCAGGTGTTGCTATAGTCAGAGCACTGTGATGGTCTCACCTCTGTTAGTCCTTTGCTTAGTGCTTCCCACTGATGCTAATGCTTAACTGAAGTCCTCTGGATGGTCCCTCAGAATCCCCTCTGCCACGCCTGAGGGTTTGGATGTAATTTAGCCCATCTTAGTATGGTCCTGCATGACTGAAATCAGGTTTGCCTGCAGACAAGTCCCTGTTAAAAGGTGGCTACCATGGTATTTACCATTTCTTTTCCCTCTGGGAGGGGAGGAAAGGAGAGAGAACATGACAGCTAGTAAGTGGCCAACATATGCCTCAACATGTCTGCGTTTGTAGCTGTTTTAAGTAGACCACCACAGTCAGTGGAAATAGAGTAGTGGGTTTCCAGTCTCAGAGCATGTCTTGGCTTGTGCACTGGAAGGACCTCAGGAGTGGAGAGCATCAGCTGTTAGAAATGGACCTGCAGCTCCTCAGCAGTGGCTGAGGCACAGCCGGACCTACGAACTGTGTAAGTCTGTGTTACACCTGCACCAAAATGATCCCTGTTTTTCTGTATTCCGCACCGCCACAGTCAGAAGGAACTGCAGATATTCCCTGTATCCCTGCTGGTGAGATTGCTGTGCTCCCCTAAGAGTGAAAGTTCTCCTCCCTCCTGCTGTGACTAATATTTCCACAGCCTGCAGAAGGGCCATGTGAGAGGCTGTAGAGTAGTTACCCTCTTTGCTGGGGTTGCCCAGGATCTTGTTGATCTCGGCGTTTGTAGGGTTCTGCCCCAGCGCGCGGATGATATCGCCAACCTGGCTCAGGGTGATCTTGGCATCACCGGTCCTGTCAAAGAGGAGGAAGGCCTCCTTGAAGTCTGCAAGGAAAGAGCACGAGTTAAATCATGCCAGGCAGCTCTGCATTGACGAGTTGTATTGACAAAGATGCGAATCTGTTGTCTCCTGGCACCTTTCCACCAACTCTGGGAGAGTTAGCCAGGAGAATCTTTGGCCCATGATCCCAAGAAAAACGCCTCCCCTCTGACATTTTGGTTTTACTATTTTTAAACTTTTATATCTACCTTTCATATCTTTCCTGGCTCTGATAGCTATCAATAGCTTTGTAATTGATCCCGTAGTTATTTCAAGCACTGAAGAGTAGTTTGCTGCAAATGCTGCCATTCAAGAACAGGTTTCTTTACATGCCATAGCAGCAGAGGGTGAAAATGTTCTTGAATAATCTGCTCCGTTTTATTTCACCATGGGACTGAGACTCTTCTGTAAAAGTGCCTGCTGGTGCAAAACATCTGCCAGCTTTGGGTCCTGACTGCAATCGCAGAGCCTCAGCTACGCAATATTAATGGGAAGCTTAAAGGTGGATTTCACATGCTCCTACTTTCACTCTCCCTTAAAGTTGCCATCTAATGACGTTTTTACCCATGTTTGTTTTGTCTCTTGTCTGCCCTTTGTGATCTGTCTCTGCTTCTTACAGATCTACGAAGATCCAACTTTTCCAGTGGCAACGCTTGTGTGGCGCCTTATTCCTGTGTATTCCCATTACATGAATTTTTAGATTTTGCTCAGTACCCCAGATTGGTTATCATTCATTTATTTCTCCTTTGCTGCAGACTGAGGACTTGGGGTACTGATACTTCTATAAAAATTGGTGCTGGTAGTCACCTTCATCAAATTGCCAGTCTTCATCTTCAGCTGGCAAAACTCGGTGTTAATCATCTTACTATATCTTTTCAATCTTTTAGAAGTATTTGTTGCAATAAGTAAAGAAACATGTATAAAAACTCAAGGGTTTAGCTAAAAAGCTATCTTCGACCTTCATATGTCAAGGGCAGCTTGGTCTATGCTATTGATCTCTTCTGCACTGCAGTATCTGACCATGCTGTGTTTTAACTCAAGAAAACCAGGTGAAATGTCTTTCTCTAGCTGCTTACTGATCTGAAAGGGTGTTATGAATGAGCGAGGCTTTGCGTTTTGCAGCATGTGTAGGTAGAATGTTCTTTTTGCTTTGGGGCAGATTTAGGAGCAATAAACCACATTGCAGATTATGTCTTTGTCCATCTTATGCTGGGGACGCACGGAACGGAGTTCTTCCTTTAGCCGTCCATATGCCGCCTCACTGGAGGAGTTGCTGGCACCCAGTAAAACTGCTGATAGAGGATGTAGGCCTGCTAGGCTGTAATCTAATAGGTCTGAAACTAATCCCCTTACTGTCTGATGTGAGACCTATAACCCTTTACTGCTAACCCTCTCCCCTTACAGCGTTTATTGCAGACTATAAAATTGAGGCCTTTTGGACCTGCTAAGAGCTTCCTCTTACAATCTACTAGCTTCATATTGGCTCCTGCTCTAGCAGCTGCTAGAGGTCAGTGGAGCTGTGCTGATTTATACCATATGATCCAGTCCTCCTCCTGGTTCACGAAAGACATTTAGCTAGAATTAAGTGTAAAACAAGGTCAATTTGTTATTAGCAAAGCCATCAGGAGAGTTTCTCTATTTTGTAAATCTCATGGAGTTTTATGTTCATTGGGTTATGAACACAGCTCCCTGGTTCGGAGAAGAGGGCCTGATTTTATCTTTGTGTCTCAGGTATGCATTTCACTGCAATATATCTTTGCTGGTATTTCGTTTATACCTCTGATGGAGTAAGCAAGTCTAAAATCGGTCTCTGAACAGGGTTTTGCCCAGCTGTTGGTTTGTCAGCATGTATGGACGGAAATAGCTATAGAGGGTGGAGCATCAGTATTTCAGGGAAATCCTCCCTCTCCCTAGTGGCTTTTAATTGCTCCCCTACTTGGTTCAGTCATCACAGCATTACAGCAGCTGGATGATCTGAAATATGGAAGGAAGCTGAAGAAGTCTGTTGCTTTGTTGTACATGCCAGTAGCTTTGAATTGATGGCATTTTTCCATAAACCTTCCCAAATCTTTTGTAAAAGTTTTAGAATTACATAGCAAGGATGCTTCCAAATAAATTCTTTTGTGATCAGGATAGTTTGGGCTGGAGGAAGAGGCACATTTACAGCACTGTACCCCCCCTCCCTGTTGCTTTTGATGGTTATGATGGTGTAACCCAGAGCAGGATTGTGTTCAGGAAGTTTAGGGCTCTCTGTTAAGACATGCTTCTAGCTATTTCTCTGCCTCTGGATCTTTAGTAAATCTTTGTATTTTTCCTTCAAAATACTTTATTCACAGTGAGGGAGTCTACTATATTTCTGAGTGTGGTTTTTTTTATTTTTTTAAACCCAATGTTACTTACTAGACCCCAAATGCATCTATGAAGATACTTAAAACACTTGGGCCTAGATTTCTAAGGCTTCAGTAGTGATTCTTTTTTTTTAAATGTCAGAACTTTTAATCAGACCTGTCTAGCAGATTGAAGAGGAAAAAAAAAAATCTTGAACTTGCTGGTGGCTTGTTGAGAAGCTGGAAATACAGCATGGTGCTTTAGAATCACAGCATATCTGGACTGTTACCTTATACGCAACAGTTCACATGAGTCATTTATTTGCTAACTATTTCCATGCTTCACAAACACATTTACAGTAAAATGACCTCTCTTCTTCCCCTTCCACAACACCTCCTGGCAAAAGTAACAAGCAGATAGTTGGTGAAATCTCTTAAACCTCCTGTTCATATAAAATTGCAATGTCACTGCACCTAAGCTGAATTTTCTGCTTGCTCCCTCCTTCTGTTGTCCTATTCCCCTGTGGTTTTAAAGAACCAAACCCATTTTAATCATCCTTTAGAACAGTCATTACATGAACACAGCTGAAAAATATTCATCAGGTAGAGCCGGTAACTCCGGCCTATTCCTTCTTCATACCGTCGCATGAACTTATCAGCTCAGGCAACACATAAACACCTGGATAAATTACATGGGAATCTAAGGTCAGATTCTTGTTCAGTGCAAGTCAGCACAGCACCTCAGAAGTCAAGAGTGTGGTGATTTATACCAGCTAAAGACCTAGGTCCTCTTTTTGTAAAAGTTGAACTTCCTAGCTTGTAGCTCTTATCTGAGCCCATGTACATGTAAAACACATTGGCTGTCTTGTAACTTACCATCCTGTTGCTCCTTGGAGAACTCGATCTGTTGGAAGGAAATCAATCACAAAAAAATAGCTTAGGAAAGGGGGGCTAGGGGAGAACCTGTTTGTTTTTTAAAGCATCCAGCTCAATCCGTGAGTCATCTTCCAAAACAGTAGAAATGTGGCCTCTCAGATATGCTGAAGTAATTCAGATACCAACAGAGCTCTTAAGACTAGTGACTATTTAGTGTTCAGTAGCCAGTATGTTTGTCCCACCGTTAAAGTTTAATTTATTTCACTTACCATTAATTTGGTCAGGAGTGAAGGACTGCAGTTGGGAGAAAAAGAGAGAAAAAAGAGAACTAGTACTGCTGAAAATGCACTGAGAGAAAGCAAATAGCACAAGGTAGCTGAGCGCTCTGGCATCTCTGTCTTGCCCGATACAATTAGGCCATGGCAACCTGACCTCACAACTTGCCTTGTAAAAATGTATCACCAGGTCTGTTTTTAAAGATTCTGCTGAAATCTGCATCCTAGGGAAAGCCAGGCTTGTAGTTTAAGCAACACAAATCTTAAGCCTCTTAACTAGCAAAGGAGTTGTTAATGTACAATCCGGTCATTTACAGCTTTAATATAGACCCATTTTATTAGGCTCCTTTGGAGTAATATTGCTTAACAAGCAGCTTTTTACATTAGCATAGAAAATAAACCCATTCATTAAAGTCTGTGTTTCAAATTAGTTTTTCACAGTACATTGTTTCATCAAATACTAAATTATGATATTTTCTTATATAAAAATATTGCTATTTTCCCTTGCAACTTTAGCAGGTCGCATCAGATAAAAATTGCTTAGCAGGTAGCTCTAGCAAATTTTAACTATCCTGTCTGAAGCTTCAGGAACTGCACTTCTACCTCTGCCTAGTGCAGAACTTCAGGCAAACTGGACAGCCTAACAAAGTCTATTAGGTTTGTTTGGCTTTCCTTCCTCAAACCAAACGGTTTACTTCTGGCCTGTCTCTCCCCCTAGAACTGACTCAAGCGAGAAGCTGGATTTACTCCTATAAAACACATTGGCTCACAGCTAAACATTAGCTTTCCAGTGGACCCACCATGATTGAGAGTTGGAGCAGCAGACAGGCAGGAGGGATTAGCTGAGGTCTCTGAGAGTGGTCCTGCTTTCCTGGCCTTTCTTCCTCTTATTTATGTGGAGGCACTGACGACATTGCCTGGATTAGGTGTCAGAAGGAAACCGCCACTCCCCTTGGCGAGTTCTTTAGCTTTCTTAGGGCAAGGTGACAGAAGGCTCCATGTCTTGATGGACGTCTTACAATGACTATTTTTAGGAGGCCGGAGAGAGGCAGGGAGCAGCAAGCAGCAGTAAGTTTGAATCATGTCAGCAATTTCTGGGTCTGTACCGTCAAGAGGGGATATTCCTTATCTAGACCTACCAAGACCTCCTTATAGGGAGGACTCCTCTTTCTCCAATAAGCTATCAAGTCAACGAGCGAAGAGCACTGGGAACAAGAAGTCCCACGTGTTTGCCCAGCAGCCTGGCTTTCCATGTGGCTTGTTGGTTGCGTGTTGTTAGGTGCAGCTGGATGGCAAGCTCTGGGCTTGTTTCAAAGCCCATGAAAATGCTAGGACTCCTTGTACCTCTGCTGAGCTTTGCTCAGCCCCTTATTTGGATAACGTATTGCTCAAGGTTAGATCAGTGGTGCTGCTGCTTGTCTGCCCTGGTGCAATCTAGGTATTGGTGCTGAGTGGAAGAGTCACATGCTGACACAGGTGGTGTCTGACTATTGAGCTCTTCTGCACTGGTCATGCTTTCCAGATGTTTAATATTTTTTTTTAGAGCAAATTTATCCACACCTTTTGGCATTTCTAGACTTGCAACTGATGTGGAGGTGTACCGTGCAGGGCATCAGGAAATCTGTCTACAGTAGCCTGCACTCTGTAGGACCCCTTCCTTATAGGGCTGGCATTAAACAGAGCACCAGAGATTCTGAGCTCGCTGGTGTGGTGAGAGGAGGAGGAGTTGCATGGTAGAATTGAAGATGTTTTTCTGATGTAGATGCAAAGGAAAAGCAGTGATAGAGGCAGAGACTCCCCAAAAAGCTTTGTAAAGCACGCAGATGCCTTTTAGCAGTGGGTAAAGAGGGGGCTTGCTTTTCGGGTTGCAGAGCAGAGGCATCATGGTGGGCTTGCAAGTGAGGAGTTCCCAGGTACATCACAGGAGGGAGAAGCTGCAGTTTCTTCAGTAGTAGCTAAGGCCTAGTTCTGCTGTGTAGCATCCTCCAAGCCCAGACCGCATTTCCAAATTCATGCTATGAGATGTTGTAAAAGGATGTGAAGACTTTCCTCAAAATTTCTCCCTCGAAATTTCTCCTCCTTGTCACCTCAACTGGGTCAAGAGGGTTATGCAGCCAGGGTGGGAATAGTTGAGGAACAGATATGGACTCTCTTGCAAATTCAGATCCAGGCTCTCTGATTTCTATTGATTTCCTTTGTTGCACGTTTTCCTTTCCAGGTTCTCCAATGATAAAATGTGATTAATAAGAGAGATTCTTTCTCCTTTAGTGCAATTAGGTACCCCAAAAGATAAGTATAACCTTTCTGAACATTTGACAGTTCTCAATATACTGAGGGCTCTGAAAGAAAGAGTTAAATCCAGGCAGACCTAATTTTATTTTTTTAACTGAAAAATCAAAATAGGTCAAAATATTTAGTTAGACTGGTGTTTTTAACCTTCTCCCTCCCCTTGTAAAAACTAAAGAGACAATTACAGAGAAATTGCTAAGCAAGTCATTTCAGCTGAAAAACATTTTGTAAAATCAGATTCTTTGCACTTTGGAGGAATATCTGGAAAACATCCCAAGCATGAAAAATGCTGCACAGCCTTCAGATTTGGTTGTTCTGTTATTTGTAATTTATTTGCATTTGGGAACAGGAACATTTTCAGGAAAGAGTCCAGCCATGACCAAGTTGGGTTGCATAGAAAAGGGAGCTGATGCTTTTGTCTGCATTAGCCACCACAAGTTAAACAGAGTGCTGACCCCCTGGTTAATACTAGCTGTGGCTGGAGCTCGGGCAGTGAGAAAGTTAATGCAGAAGTTGGCCATCAGTCCCAATGCATTAACAGAGGAGCTTTCTAAAGGCTCTGGCAGAGCTGAAGTGTTGCCTGGGTCAGTGCAGCATGTTGTCTTTTGTGGAATTTCCCATTTACCCTCAGCCTCTTGCTTTCTACTGCTGGCAACTGGAAGATGTTCCCCTGAAAATGTGATTTAAAAAAAAAAAAATTGTTTTTTTATTTTACCTAAGGAAATGTTGGATTAGTTCTCTAGAACATTTTTTTTCTCTCTTTCAGATCACCTTTACGGTTGGTTAAAACAAAATCCATCACAAAAGATTTTAGATGCTAACTAGGAAATGTTTGGGGACAGATTTGTTTTGGACATAGAAAATTGATTTCTGGATTAACCAGCTGGCTCGGATCGACTATCAAGTACGTTTGAGGTGAGAGGGATCTCCATCTAAGCCGATCGAACTCCTGACTGTATGGGACTTTAGCTCAGATTTTATGTAAGAAAATACTGGTGTACTACAGCAGCCCTTCATTTTATTGCTGACTCCTGAGTAAAAGTGTGCTGGACAGAATTTTGCTGTGGAGAAATATTCTAGCATGGACACACTGCATATTCTCACATTAAGAATCACCCTGCTCTAAGTCAGCGTAGCCTGTTACAGGCTTAAAATGCTACTCTGTTTGAGTAAAGGCACCCATAGGTGGCCTCAGGATACAAAATACTTCAAGCCCTCCTTTCAAAAATTAAACTTCTAATTAGGAAGGAATATTTTACAGTGGATCCAATCTTTATTCTGATCCTGACAATGTTCTCTGTGTTGTCAGAAAACGATGATTCTGGGGCCTTTAGAGAAGATCTTGAAACCTTAGGAAGTTGAGTATAAAAAAAGCTCCTTAAAAACAACAAAAAACAAGTAGAAATAATAAATGGAAAGACCATAAGGACCAAGATTTCTCCAATTTGACTCAGTCCTGATTAATGGACTAATTATTATCCAGAAGGATGTTTACACCAAATAAAAGGTTTTAAAAGGGGTTTCTGAGTGCTGTTTGCATCCACCTTATATCTCACTTGTTGCTAGATAGAGGCATTTTGACCAGACCCTGGTTGTATAGAGTGTATGTGGGGGGGGAGCTGAATGCAGCTTTTTCAGCAGGTAAGGCTAAGACCCAGTCCATACAAATGTTTATTTCCAAGCTGCTGTCTAAGTTCCTGACTTTCCATCAGATCACCAGCTCCTGGGCGGTAGGATCCAGACCTCTGCTGCGTGGTGCTGTGTGCACCTGTTGAGGTTGGTGGGCACCGGGGCTAAAGTAGAGCCACGCTGAGTGGCAGTCACTCTGCGCTCACTGTAAATCTGTAAATGTCTGGGTAGGGCGAAAAGCCCTGGGAAAAGAGGCTAGTGGAAGCTAAAGCTGCTCTACCTGCTTGTTCCCCTTTAGGTTAATTATAGAGAGGAGAATCATCTCTGTTAGGATTTGATTAGAGAACTGCCAGATATTTCAAAGTACTTTCTCCGTAGAAGAGGCTGAGAACATCCTGGATGTCTCAGAGAAAATTGGAGGGGAGAAAATTAGAGAATCCCCTAGGAGACTTGTATAATTAATCTCCTACAGCGATCGGCTTGGATTGTGGCTACAGCAGTTCATACGATATCTGCTCACCATTAATACCTGGTCCTTGATTAATATAGCTGCACATATTTTCTAGTAGACATCATCAAGTACAAGGTTACATAGCTCTCGAATGCCTCTGAAAAGTGGGCTGTCATTCTCCAGTCCCTCACCCTGGCTTGATAGCTCTATGATCAATGCCGTGGATCTCAGAGAGGCTGCTTCTCATTTAAGGAAGAGTCAACAGCCTCATGGATTCAGCCCCATGTCTTTTATGGGGCAAAGAAACATTAGGAGCAGATGAGCTCTCAAGAAACAGCTCTGTTTTTCAGAATGAAACCTTCTGGGAATACAGCAGAAGAAAGA